CCCCGCAGACTTTCCAGTGACAGGCTATGGTCACCCTGACCTTTGTTTTATGGTTCTTCATGCCACTAAGACTGCAGGTTTTCTGTCAGAATTTTGAGTGTTCTTCACAACATTAGTTTCACCTTGCCATCAGGTTAAGGGCTGTAAAAACAAGTAACTCACCTTGTAATGTTAACCTTTTTCCAAGTGTTGACTCTGGTCCAGAATCGGCCTGCTTTTTGTTCATTTTCCAGTGCCTTCGAGTTGCGGTTTGTTTGTATAGTTGTCACATGCAGGAGGGTCAAGTCCCTTCTGAGCTCCTCAGCAATGTTGGAGGCAGATGGTGACTGCCCATTGTATTTTGGTTACATATGGGGTTTTCTTTTTTTTTTTTTTAAAGATTTTATTTATTTATTTGACAGAGAGAGACACAGCGAGAGAGGGAACACAAGCAGGGGGAGTGGGAGAGGGAGAAGCAGGCTTCCTGACGAGCAGAGAGCCTGATGTGGGGCTCGATCCCAGGACCCTGGGATCATGACCTGAGCCGAAGGCAGACGATTAACGACTGAGCCACCCAGGCGCCCCCATATGGAGTTTTCTATTATAGACTCTGGGGGAGAAGCAAGTCCACCAACCCCAATCACATTCTTGGTACCAAACTGCTTACATGTTAAAGCTAAATCAGAACTTCTCTGGGCCGCCCAGGTGGCTCAGTTGGTTAAGCATCTGCCTTCGGTTCAGGTCATGATCCCGGGGTCCTGGGATTGAGCCCCACATCGGGCTCCCTGCTCAGCTGAGAGCCTGCTTCTCCCTCTGCCTCTGCCCCTCCCCCTGCTTGTGCATGCTCTCTCTCTCTCTCTGACAAATAAATAAAATCTTAAAAAAAATCAGAACTTCTGCATGGTACTTCATTGCCTTAGCAGAGTTTATTTATGCTGGCAGAAGAGTCGTGACTTTGGGGTTCACAAATAATTTTTGAAAATATTATAAACTCTCATCTCCCCTACCTCTACAGCTAGCTAGATAGTAGTTCCTTGATAGGCCACATGGATAATGGAGAAAATGGAGGCCCAAACTGCACATATCTTTGTTCAACTACAACCCAGCTGTGTGACCCTAGTCACACAGTGACTAGTCACTTAACCTCTCTGAGCTGCCATTTCCTGATATCATCATACAACATTCATTTCAGAGCTGATAGAAGGGCATGTAAGGGTGCCCATATACCCTGTTTTGCCTGGAAGAGTCCAGGTTTACAACTGTGGTCCCAGTTTACTGGTAAAGTCCCCTGACATTCTCAAAAATGTTCTAATACTTATAAAGTACTATTACCAATCAAATCAGCAAATTTTCCTACTAGTGAGCCTCTAGCAGAATTCCTAAGGCCTTATTGCCTCGCTTCCCTGCCTTACTTTTCAACAAAAGCATTGCCCAATAAAATATGGAGCAATGCCTAATGCTACTGTATTGGTTTTTTGTTCCATTTTTTTTTCCTCTCAGAACTATCTGGGTGAAGAGGGGTCTACTTTCAAAGACTGGTCTTTATTTCCAAGAATCAGGGCAAATCGCCTGATTCATCATTCCCCTTTCCACCTCTAAGCATACCTAGCTGCAAGTAGGCCAGAGATAAGTTTGGGAAGAAAAAGTTGTGTGTGTGTGCACCCTGGTTACATCTGGCCCTGTGATCTGAGTGTGTGTGTGGCTGTGTGTGTGTGTACATGTGTGTGTATGTGTATGTGCAGTTCTCACCCTCCAGCCTTACAGCAAGATGGTCTGGAGGTTGCAGCTGGTGCTGGGGTGGGAAAGGGAGATTTGGGCTCATGGGTGATGATTCCAGTTTCCATTTCCCACCTTGTCTTGGCAGATTTACCTGGATGAGGTCCCTCTGGGAAGGATTTTGGCTTCCGTATACTTGCCTAAATCACTGAGGGAGAGAATTCCTCCTAGCAACTTACAGACCATCTTGTTTAATTTTTTTGGCCAAACTTCACTCTTTAAGGTAAGTTCTCGCCTCTGGAAACTGTCATGAGCTGACATATGGTGACTCATTGTAATTATGAGCTCTTGCTATTTTCATGATGTTCTGTTTATTTTAGAATATGCTCTCTGATTTATTCTGCAAGTCTCCTGGCACAACCCCTGGTCCTCAACATGAATCAATGTCTTCTTTAATGATGTTCCCCAGTTTTTAATTTTCACAGCTTCTCCGCTTTGCAAGGGACCTTAAGGATCATGTGGTGACCAAACAGAGGCCTCGAGATGTTTTAAAACCAAAAAAGGACAGCGAGTCCTCCTGATGAGTGTGGTTTCAACTTGTTCATGCTTTCCTCCCGAATCTCCCCTGGCTCCTCAAAGCCTCCACGCCCATTCTTTTGGGCCAGTTCATTGGAAGCTGAGCGGTGTCCAGTAGGACACTTGCCCTCGAGTATTTGTTGCTCCTTCCCACCGCCACCGCTTCCACAGAACCTTCTCTGAGGGTGCCAGGTCCTTACCCATTATTAAAACCCAGAGGCAGTATGATGTGGTGGTTATGGGCATGGATCTGGGGCCGGTCTGGCTGAATTTAAAGCCGGCTATGCCATAGTCTACCTGCAGGACCTTGGGCAGGTCCCCCAACCTCCACGGGCCTTAGTTTCCTCCGACGTAGACTAGGGTGAGAGTAGTGCCTCGCTGGGCTGTTAAGGATTAAAGGAGTTAATATATATAAGGTGCTTAGAACACTGCCTAGCACGTCATAAACACCAGGTAGCTATTTGCGTTGCTATGATTATTTGCCTCTTTGGGGGCTCTGCCCAATACAAGGTTCATTCATTTGGCCCACTCCGTCTCCTCTAGCTGTTGGAAAGACAGCTGTCAGAGCTACAGCATGAAATGGTTGATGATCACTATTAATTGTTCAGGTTCACACTTTATTACCTCATTTGCTTATGAGAAACCTTGACTCAAAGAGTGCTATGGTCTGAATGTTTGTGTCCCCCAGAATTCACGCATTGACATCCTAACCCCCCAGATGATGCTATTAGGAGATGAAGCCTTTGGGAGGGGATGAGGTCGTGAGGGTGGAGCCGTCATAATGGGATGAGTGCCCTTGCGCAGGAGGCCCCAGGGAGCTTGCTTGACCCTTCCTCCATGTGCGGATGCAGCAAGAAGCTGTCAGCTCTGAATCGGAAAGCAAGCCTTCACCAGAACCTGACCATGTAGGTACCCTGGTCTTGGAATTCCAACCTCCAGAGCTGTGACAGAGAAGTTTCTGTTATTTAGAAGCCACTCAATCTGATGTTTTGTTCTAACAGTTCGAACAGACTAAGACAAAGAGGCTTAAGTGATTTTGCTCAAGGTCACACAGCTAAGAAGTGGCGTAACTAGTAATCGAATCCCGGCTGTCTGACTCCAAAGTTCAAGTATTTCAGAGATGCCTACCATAACACCCCTGTGTATTTTCATTTTCTAGAGAGGCTATCCAAAGGAATGAATTTATAATGGTTAAATATTCACAGAATTATTGCAGGGAGATTGCACTGGGCCAACTTAAATATACCACATAGCAACTCAAATATAACACATTGTCTCCAGTTATATCTGTAGGATGTTCTGTTCTCCTGGAATTCTCTAGTGGCTCCCCTTTCTGTCTTTGTACATTCTATTTATTCCTGCGGGTTCAGCTCAAATCCCACCCAGAAAGCCTGCGTGGAGTTCATGAGCCCCTGCTTTCCTCCCCACCCCATGCTTGCATTCTTGTCTTCCATATCCATCTAGTCGCTAGTCTGGTTTCCCTAAGTAGATTGTGGTGGATGTCGTGGGTCACACATGTTTTATTTTCATGGCATCTGGCACAGGGCTAGGTACCCAACGTGTTTTCAGTAGATACGTATTTACTAAACCTTGTTTTTAAATGGAAAAAAAAAGTTGGCAAGACCTGGGACAAGACAGTTAATGAACAAAAATTTTAATAGAAACGAAGAATGTGGTTCATAGCACTCTGACCCTTTTGGTTAACTTGAAATTTCTCTGTTATCATCTGACATACCATTATTTTTGTCTTAATTTCTCTGCTTTCTTGAGAGGGCTGTGCTTGTTGCATAGAATAAAAGATAAACTTATTTTGCATAGATTTCACACCTAATAAGTAATTTTTATTCACTAACATCTTCCACTGGAGGGGATTAAAGATCTTTGCCAAAATTAGCCTACGGACGTCATAGTGCCAGATAATGGATTAGAAGTAGCCTGACATCACATTCAGAACTGGAAGGGCCCTTGTAACTCATAGTGGCCCATCTCATTTTACCGATGATGATATTGAGACTCAAAGAGGGGAAGGGACAATGTATTCAGTCAGTCACACAGTTATTATTCAGCCAACAAATCTGTATCGAAATCCTGCTCTGTGTCTTGTGTGGTGCTGGGTGGTGGCGATACAACAGCAAGCGGCAGAGACATGGTGTGGGCCCTCCTGGAACTTTCGGTCTGAGGGGCAGAACAGAAACTGACAGATTCTGGCTCTGAAGGGGATGACCTGAGCCTGGGTCCTGTGCCACTGATTGTTGGGGAGGAGGTACTTATAAGAGATGCCACCCTCTAACTACCTTTTCCCCTAAGTCCCAAGTCTCACAGCCTCGCCTTCACACTGCTTCCTCTGATATCTTTTGATCAAAATCTTCACTGCCACCGCAACATTTTACTTTAAAAATGGTTGATAAGGGAAGGCTGGCTGGTTCGGTCGGTGTTGCAGGTGACCCTGGGTCTCGGGGTTATGAGTTCCAGCCCCACGTTGGGTGTAGAGATGACTTAAAAATAAAATCTTGAGGGGCGCCTGGGTGGCTCAGTCGTTAAGCGTCTGCCTTCGGCTCGGGTCATGGTCCCAGGGTCCTGAGATCGAGCCCCGCATCGGGGTCCCTGCTCGGCAGGAAGCCTGCTTCTCCCTCTCCCACTCCCCCTGCTTGTGTTCCTACTCTCGCTGTGTCTCTCTCTGTCAAATAAATAAATAAAAAATCTTTAAATAAATAAAATCTTGAGAAAAAAGTTGTTGATAAGACGCCACTCTTGGAAAACACATACTGCCTCCTCCCCGAGTGGCTGGCCTCTAGGAGAAGGACAAAACACTAGGCAAGTACACTATGGCACAGGGGCTCTGGGAGCATAGAGGAAAGATCAGGGAGATCAGGAAAGGCCCAGGGAGGTGTCGGCTGGAACCCGAGGTTGAGTAGAAGCTATAGGAGATAAAAGGATGGAGGAGTGCTTCCGGCCGAGGAAACTTCTCTAAAAGGTTCAGAGGCAAAACAGGTAAAACTTGAGCCTTGAGCCAAGGAGCGGAAGAGTGAGAAATGATTTAACGCCTTTTCCTGCATGGCCGCCATTTTGTACGAAAGGGAAATTAAACCAGAGGACAGGTTAATTAAGTCCTGGGTTGCTGTGTGTTTCCCCTCTTTTGGCATTTCCACTCCAGAAAACTGTATCTCTTAGACTAAGTTGAGAGGGTTGTTAGATATCACCTGGTCCGGGCGCCTGGGTGGCTCAGTTGGTTAAGCAACTGCTTTCGGCTCAGGTCATGATCCTGGAGTCCCGGGATCGAGTCCCGCGTCGGGCTCCCTGCCCGGCAGGGAGTCTGCTTCTCCCTCTGACCCTCCCCCCTCTCATGTGCTCTCTCTCTCTCTCTCTCTCTCTCTCTCTCTCTCATTCTCTCTCTCTCAAATAAATAAATAAAATCTTTAAAAAAAAAAAAAGATATCACCTGGTCCGCTTTTCTTCCTGTTATCAGTGTACCAGAGAGGGAAAGAGACTTTCAAGGAACAGGAGGGCTTGGGCTAGCGCTTGGTCTTTGGATGGTCAGCCGGGGCCCTTGCCACCAGATTGTGCTGTAGATCCACCTCTGCATCAGGCTACCACAGGGGAATTCCTCTGGGAAGGGAGCGTGGAACCACCAGGCTGGCTTTGAATGAACAGAGCTGGTCAGGAACCGGAAGTGAGTAGCTTCCTAGCGGAGCCCCAGGCTGTGTTCACAGTTAGCCAGTTCTCAGTGGATTCAGGGCTCAGAAATAGGAGCACTGGGCATCTTCTGAAAGTGGCCCAGCAGACTCTGCAAGGGGCATCATCTAAGCTCACCTCATCTAGGCCTCCTTGGCAAGTCCTCAGAGGACTTGCTTCCCATCCTTCCTGTCCTGCACCTGCCTCATCTCTTGTCTCTTCGACATGTGCCCCGGAAGAGGCAGTCTCCCAGCTGCCTCGCCCCCTGGGGCCTTGGCCTGTGGCACTTTGGCCCTGTGAATTAGCAAGCGCCACATCCTAACAGCTACATTCTACTTGATCTCCTTGGAACCAACATTTCTGAAGCATCTCTGCCCATTCATGCACTAGCTGTGTGATCTTTGTCCAAGTCTTTGAGCCTCCCCAACCTTCCGTTTATCCAGAAAATGCCTATATTGTTTCATTGAGGACTAGAGACAGTGTATGTGGAAAGCACCTAACAATGTAACTGGCTCACTCTGGGTGCAAGATGAAATACTTGCTGTATGTTTGGCCATGCAGGGGACATGAGGCCACGTGACGCCTCTGCTCTGACCTCAGAGTTCATGGTCCCCTAGGGAGGAGATGACAGTCCTCAGAAACTTATTTCAACCTGAATGTTTATCCACCTGCTTCCAACTTCAGGGGAGATGAACCAGGGGGTGGCTTATAACTAACCCACGATGAATTTATGTTTCTTATGAGGAGGGGCCCCCTAAAAGTAAGTAAGGGTGGTTAGGGGTTGGAGCTAAGATAAGCTGTGAAATGTCAGGGTTCAGGGTTATCAAAGTAAGGAATGGTTTCACTTTGTTGCTAGTGTGGTACTGAGTAGCAGGTAACAACAAGGTAGCAACAAAGCCGGTGCTTGCTGAATAACATATTTGGATGTAGGGCTCGGGTTAGTGAATTGTTGTAGCTTGGTAGAATCGAGACCTTATGCGAAGACAGGAGATGAGCTAAATGACCTCTAAAAACTTTTTCTCAGGGGTGCTTGGCCAGCTCAGTCAGAAGAGCATGCAATTTTTGATCTCGGGGTCGTGAGTTCAAGCCTCAAGTTGGGTGTAGAGTTCACTTAAAAAAGAAATAAAATCTTAAAAATAAATGAATAAATACAAATGAAAATTTCCTTTCAGCTGTGATTTTATTTTCCATATTTCTGTGCCTCCAGCCATGCATTAGTAATTCTGAACTGATTATTGACATGCAAGAAATTGGAAATTTAGGAGCTGAACTCCTCTTCCTTATGTTTCACCCACAGACTGGAAGCGCCACAAAAGCACTAAGCACCTTCGTGGTGAGTGCCAGCCTTTCAGATACGTCCATTGAAAACTTGGCTGAGCCAGTGGTTATCAATCTGCAACATGTTGAAGGAAACCAGGTACTATACCCATTTTCATCTCAGAATAGGAAGGCCTCTGAACCCCTCCTTGGACTTCCTGTTAAAAATAATGGACTAGTGGGGCGCCTGGGTGGCTCAGTCGGTTAAGCATCTGCCTTTGGCTCAGGTCATGATCCCAGGGTCCTGGGATCGAGCCCCACATCAGGCTCCTACTCAGCAAAGAGCCTGCTTCTCCCTCTCCCTCTGCTTGTTCTTTCTCTCTCCCTCCCTCTCTCTCTCTGTCAAACAAATAAATAAAATCTTCAAAAAAATGGGCTAGTTAACAGATGTGGTTCTAAGACTTAAAGAAGATTGTCCCATTTTGGGCAGTAGAAGTGTGTTGTAGTTGAAGCCTTCTAGAAATAATGCCATCGCTTAAAGGGATAAGTAATGGTGGGCTTCCAGCACCATGACAGATTGGCAGAGGACTGACTAGGGCAGGTGGATCTTTTGGTTGTCCCATTACACTAAATGCTATTTAATTCCATTTGTTTTTGAGTGAGGCAAACAATTTAAAATAATTGAACATTTTGATCCTTTTCAATTGCCACGAAGAGCATTAAAATATGTATTAATTATCACCAACGAATTAAAACCATAGTCATATGGCATAACATACGGTATATATTACTAAATGATCAAATTTAGCTGTAGCATAAGAATGAACTACTATTCCATTCTTTGATGTTAATGTATGTCCAGTGTGAAGTCTTAATAGCTTCCTTCATTCCCAATCTAAATGACCAGATGGTACAGTATATTTTTCACAGGTCTTAATTCTAGGAAGGAGGAAAGAAGGGTGGGAGAGGGACAGAAGAAAAAACAGATACCAAATGAAACATGTTAGATGGGTGAGATCTCTCGGTTCCAGCATGGGCCCCGGCTCTCCAAGCATCCCCCAACAACCAACTTCTCATTGCCTCCAGTTCCCGGGAGATTGTAGGAGCTGGTGAGGCCCCAGGAATGCTCCCTAGGCCTAATGAGCAAGCAGCTCAACTTTATATCCATAAAGCTTGATCTCAGCTGTGAGCCCCAAATTCCAAAGTTCTGCAAGGAACACCTACCCCACATCAGACCTGCCCTGACCATTCAGCCTCCTCCTGGGCCTTGCACCAGGAGGGTCTAGCAAATTCCTATGTTACCAAATATTTGTGTGTGTGTGTGTGTGTGTGTGTGTGTGTGTACACATTCAGTTTTATTGTAACAAAGCAACTTGTACACTTTTAACATTTAAAACTGAGCATCATCTTGGGGCACCTGGGTGGCTCAGTCGTTTAGGCATCTGACTTTGGCTCAGGTCATGATCTTGGGGTCCTGAGATCGAGCCCCATGTCAGGCTCCTCCCTCAGTCAGCTTGGCCCTCTCCCTTTGCCCCTCCCCCTGTTCCTGCTCTCTCTCTCGAATAAATAAATAAAATCTTAAAAAAGAAAACCCTGAGCATCATTTTTCCTTTCCAGTGACACACAAAAAAGTTTTTTTTTAAGAATAAACAGGAACAAAGTTACAATAGAGAATGTCAATTCCAAATAAGACCCTACAGGCACTGCTAATTCTCCCATCGAGTGGCAGGGCTCAAGTCATCATTAGTAGAGAATTTTATTTTAAAAGTGTCATCTTAAACTGCAAGGAATTCCATTAAACATCACAATTAAACATGCCAGAGGAGAAGCCATGTTGTCAGAATGCCCACTTAACCCACCCAAACATCTCAAACCCACCCTTTGCTGATCTTCTATAACCTCATTTTAAAATTTCATTTTATTTTTATTTTTTAAAGGTTTTATTTTTTTATTTGAGAGAGAGACTGCGGGGGAGAGACAGAGAGAGAGAGAGCACGAGCAGGGGGAGGAGCAGAGGGAGAGAGAAAAGCAGACTCCCCGCTGAGCAGGGAGCCTGACACGGGGCTCGATCCCAGGACCCTGGGATCATGACCTGAGCCAAAGGCAGACACTTAACTGACTGAGCCACCCAGGTGCCCCTATAACCCCATTTTTTAAAAGAATTTTTTCTTTTTTTTAACCAAGAGAAAGTAGATTGATGCATGTTGGTCCATGCTAACTGTCCATACTCACATAGAGACACTGTAATCACATAGAGCCCAATATCCAGAAAAAGGAGGAAAGGGGGAACTCTAGGCACTACTGCACAGGGGCCCCACACCCTCCAGCTTCCAGCAGACCTAGGGGAGCGGAATTTCCCACAGAGTACGGTGGTGTTGATTCCAGAAAGTTTGTGTTGATACAAGAAGGGATAAAAACGAATTTGGAACAGAAAGGGTAGAGATTCTTTCTCCGCTGTGTTCTGCTTGAGGCATTTCCCCCCAAAATAAGTTGAGAACCATGGTATAGACAGAGAGAAAAGAGACTTGAAAAAACGGCGAATGAGCACAAGAGGAGGGGAAAAAAAAGACTGCAACTTGCTGCCAAGGACTGGAGAAAATTTAAAAAGGAAGGTTGGAATCCATCGGTGTTCCATGACTCGGCTTCTCCTTCTTCCTCCTCATCTACCTCCCTTCATCCTCTCCTTCATCTCCTTCACCTTCATCCTCCTCTCCTTCACCAATATCTTCCAGTCCTCCTTCTTCATCATCATCTTCTTCTCCTTCCCTTCCTTCATCATCCATATCGGGAGCCAAGTAGTGTGGTCACGGATTTGGCCAAATATCATCTTTGATGACCTCTGCTGGTTCATCTGCACCTGCATAGAATGGTCAAGGAACCAGGGGAAGAAGCTTTGGTTCCTCATGCTGTCTCCTCCTGCTGGCTCAATTCTGCATTGGACGTAAATGTTTCATCAAATCCTTTCTGGATTTCCATTTGATTTCAGTGGACTTGGAAGACGAATCACCATTCTCGGTCAGATGAAATTCTTTGGAGAGAACTTTATTTTCGAAGTAAAGGTTTTCATCAAAATAAAAATCTATCCTGTAACCTACCCGATTTAACATCTTCAAATTCTGTCACTTCAGCTCAGCCTCTCTCCATCCTCCTCCCTGAGCAGTGTAAACACTTGTGGATGGTTGACAAGTGTTGTTACCCCTAAATTGGAGATCTGGGCTATCAATTCCGACCTCTTCTGAAAAACGTGGTTGGTGGAGTTTGTTATATTTCTGTTCTACTTTCAAGATCTCCACACTGGGTTGTTCATGAGTCTATTTCATTTTGTACTTCATCAGTGTGTTCAGTTGCTTCCGCTGCTCTTTTTCTCCCTTCAGCAAGTGCTGAGAGGTCAACAGCTCCTCTGGCTTAGGGGCAAGAGGCAGACTGTTTTCTTCATTTGAGGCAGGAGCGAAGACTGGCATTTGGGGGCCATGCTGTGAGGGAAGTCCATGGAACAAAGGCAGACGCACATCTGGAAAAAGCTCTGATTACCCCTATGTTACCAAATATTTTATTTATTTGGTTGTTTATTTATTTATTTTAAAGATTTCGTTTATTTGAGAAAGAGAGCACACACAAGCATGGGGAGGGGCAGAGGGAGAGGGAGAGAAGTAGACTCTCAACTGAGTGTGGAGCCTGATGCGGGGCTCAATCCCAGGACCCTGAGATCATGACCTGAGCCGAAACCAAGAGTCAGACGCTTCTTAACCAACTAAGCCACGCAGATGTCCCTACCAAATATTTTAAAGGACACATACTAGACCACCATGCAGTAGTATGCTGTTTTCTCACTTATAAGCCCCAAGTCACTTGGGCTTAGTCTTAAAACCAACTTGCAGATGGTCCAAGTGTATGTGCATGTGTGTGTGTCTACTGTTTGTAAAAACATCGAGAAGAAAACACTTGTGTGTAGTTGCCATTGTGTGGTAACTATCACAAGGAAAGGTGTTTACCTCTGATTTTTCTTTTTTCTAGAATTCTGATTGGGTTCACTGTGCCTTTTGGGACTTTGGGAGTAACAGTAAGTATTTTTCTTAGCAAGCTTTGTCTTCGGCTCTCAGTGAGCCTTTGCCCCTGACCATTTTCCTAGTTGGCAGTTGGATGAGAGGGAGCTATACTGACTGTCTTACCAGATCCTACAGAGAACTCTGACTGACCAAGATATGAATATGAGTTTTATATCTAGTTACGGCATGGGAGGTTAAAATAAAAAGGCTTTCTCTTTGATAAGATGCTTATTTGGGGGATCAGAAAAATCATACAACTCGGGAATAAGGGAATTTGGAAGACCCAGTGCAGAGTAGCCTTAAGCTGTTTGAAGCAAGTTGAGAAATGAACACCTGGCTGTTCATCTGTGTTTTCCCAAGGAAATTTGCAACATCTACTATCTTCTTCCTTTTTCTCCTCGTCTAGGCTGACTGTGTGACCCTGGGGAGTCCATTTACTCTCTTGGGGCCCCAATCTTTTTATCTTTTCATTGAGGGGATAAGACTTCCTGGTTGATCTCAAAGGGCCCTTCCTGCTTGGCTAAGTATGAGTCTTTGGGGACAGTAAAGAGAAGGGGTTTGGGATGGGGATCGCTGAATGGGTTCCTCCTCAGTTTGCCTTCTCCATTGGAATTTCCAGGGATATGGCCAAATCTTAAAGTATTCCCACCCAGAATCTATTTTCCCTGGAATGCCAGGAGTGGCTACGTGCCCCTCTGCCTGGGAAATTTTCCTTTTTCAGTATCCTTGAAATTGTGGGAGAAAAAGGAAATTCTCCTCCCGTGGGACTACCACTCCTTCCCTACGACAGAGATAGCACGTCCTTTCCTGGTCCTCTCCAAGTATCCCAGGATAAGTTTCCTGCAAAATGATGAGCCTTGTCACTGACACCTTTGCCCCCACCCTCTGTCCATGGATCCAGAGCCTCTGGAATCTATGGAGTTATCCTGGATGGACAAATTTTGACATTTTGATAACCTCTCTGGTCTAGTGCTACTCTGGTGGTTCTATTCTACATCTGGTCTAGTATCTGAGGTCTACAGGTTACGCAGAGGTATGGAGGTTGGTTTTAGAACCCTGAATAAACTCAGGAGTGAGAAACGAGGCAAGTGTCAAGTAAACCAGAGGCTTTAATTGGCCCTAAGGAGTGACGGACAGACTGTGATCTGGCTTGTGCTGGTCGTTTCAGATGTTTACTCCAGGGCCACCAAGCAGGCCCAAATGTCAGCCTAGATTCCATAGCTCATGTCCTTCAGAAAGTTCTAGATCTACCTGTTTCCTAACCTGTAGGAGCTCCTGTGCGGGAACAGGAAGTGAGAGCCCAAGAAGGTACGCCATGCACAAAGTCCCCCAAAAGTCAATTTTGCCTATTAGACTTCATTTGATTTCAATGTTCAACTATACCTCTATCTTGCTCTCTTAACAAAGAACACTAATTAGAACACATGCTCAGAAGGTGCATATAATGAAAAGTTAAACATTTCTGAGAAAAACAAAATTGCTTTGAAATTCCCTTCTGTCTCCTGCAGATGGGCAAGGTGGATGGAATTCATCAGGCTGTAAAGTAAAGGATACGAACGTAAATCACACAATCTGTCAGTGTGACCACCTCACCCATTTTGGAGTCTTAATGGTGAGTTGTCTCCTAATCACTCCTTGATAGAGTTTGGACAACTTCTATTAGATTACAGACCAGAAATACCTGGGTGAACTGTGATGGAAAAGTGGCATGTGAGTGGAAAAAAAGCCCCCTCTTTGTTCATCCAAAGTAGAGCAGATTGAAATAAATATTTCTTTTTCTCCTTATAAAAGTAATGCCTGCTCCTCAAAATTCAAACATTACAGAAAAGGTCCCTATAATCCCCCTCCCAAGAGATCACTGCCTTTAACACCTTGATGTAAATTCTTTCACATTTTTTTCCTATGTGTATATTAATATATGTGTTTTTTTTAAAGATTTTATTTATTTGACAGAGAGAGACACAGCGAGAGAGGGAACACAAGCAGGGGGAGGGAGAGAGGGAGAAGTAGGCTTCCTGCCGAGCAGGGAGCCCGACGCGGGGCTCCATCCCAGGACCCCGGGATCATGACCTGAGCCGAAGGCAGACGCTTAACGACTGAGCCACCCAGGCGCCCCAAAATATGTTTTTGTTTTATAAAAATGGGATCAAATTATTCACGCTGTTTACCACTTGCTTTGCACTAACAATACAATGGGGCACCTTTCAGGCAAATACATATCTATCTACTTCAATTTTCAAAATACCTTTATAGAATTCTCTTGTATGGATTAAACATGATGAATTTAACCAATCCCCTATATGCAGGCATTTTAGTTTTACTGTTTACTGTTTTTCTCCATTATGAACAATGCTGTAATACACATTTTTATTCATTTCTCTTCTAACACTGGTGTAACTATTTCTGTAGGATAAATTGATGGAAGAAGAATTGCTGGGTCAAAGGGTATGGTCATTAAATTTTTTAATTGTCAGATTGTGGTGTAGGAAAGATATATTTTTTAAAATTCTTGCACTACTTAACCAAACAAGACTCATCAAGTCTCATATTCAGGCTTAGAGCTTCAGTCATCATTAGTTAACTCTTCCACCTCTTTAGTTCCCTATGGCCCTCCCTAACATGAGGACTTGCTGAGTTTTCCTTCAAAATAGTCTCAAAGGGGCACCTGGTTGTCTCAGTCAGAAGAACACCTGACTCTTGATCTCAGGGTTAGGAGTTCGAGTCCCGCGTTAGGCACAGAGTTTACTTAAAAAAGAAAAGAAAGAAAATGGCTCTCAAATGTGTTCCTTCTTCTTTACTCCTCTCTGAGTACTTTCTTAGTTCTCTTGAGTTACTTTATTATATATACTATATACTGTCATCTGAATGTGTTGTGCACGAGTTGTTTCTCCTACTCATGGTAAACTTGGCACTGTTGATATTCTGAACCAGATAATTCTTTGTTGTGGGGGACTGTTCTGTGCATGGTAGGATGTTTATCAGCATCCCTGACCTCTCTAACCACTAGATGCCAGTAGCCCTTTCCCCAGGCATGACGACCAAAAATGTCTCCAGACATTGCCAATGTCCCGGGGGGAGGGGCAGTATTGCTTCTAGTTGAGAATAACCAGGGTAGACAAGTGCTCCTTAGCCTTTTATGATTCATGAATCTCTATAACTTGAGGAAAGCCTGGACCTTCTCCCCAGAACAATGCACACATATAGTCAAATGATTTTGCATGCCATTTCAGGTCTTTTATGGTCTTCAGGTTAGAAAATTTCGGGATTATGTGATCTCTAAGGTCCATTTTGTCTCTCAATTTTATGAAAGTTATTTAAGGCCCAAGGGAAAGGAACATTTCTTTTTTTTATGTTCTGTGTAGTGTTTTGGGATGCTTAGTTCAAATAATGATTCACTTTGCATCCCAAATTCACATCTATTAGTTTGGTTACATTTTAAGTGTGGAACATGTTAATGACAATAAAGCCAAGGACTAAATGTTCTTCCAGTGCTGTTGATGGCTCTCCATGACCTGTACACAGTAAGTTGCACTAAGCATATTCAACAAACAATATACAGTCTTATTGTATATTCATCCATATACTCTGGTTTTATAAGAGCTGTAGTAGAGATGCTATATATCCTGAGAACCTCCTGTTGGTGAGCCCTGGAAGCATTTTACCATAAACTTGCTCTGGCAAACGTATAAAATACAACATATTGCATTTCCTAGGATTTATCCAGGTCTGCAATGGATGCAGTGAATGAACGGATATTAGTGCTGATAACATACATTGGATGTGGAATCTCCTCCATTTTCCTGGGAGTTGCAATAGTGACATACATAGCTTTTCAGTAAGTTGATAAAGTCTTGCTCTGAATAGGTTTAATTTGGTTTGATGGATGCTGTTGTCATTGTAACCACATTAATTTCATAAAATGTTCCTATTCATCACAATAGGAAGAGGTCAAATCCATTAGATTATGAAGTGGACAGATTAAAAAAAAACAGGCAAGGCTCTTCTAAAAAAAGAGAGAGAAAGAGAGAGAGAGATTATAATTGGATTTTTAAAAAGCAAGAGGTTTGGGGTAGGGTAAGATTTCTCTAATGGGATATAAAACACTAACCATGAAAGAAAAAGTTGATAAATTGGACTTCATTGAAATTAAGAACTTCTTCCACCAAAAGACACAATCAAGCTAGTGAAAAGGCAAACCATAAATTGGGGGAAGATAATTGCAATGCGTATATCTGACAAAGGACTTTTTTTTTTTTTAAAGATTTTATTTATTTATTCATGAAAGACAGAGAGAGAGAGAGAGAGGCAGAGAGAGAAGCAGGCTCCCAAGGAGCAGGGAGCCCGACGCGGGACTCGATCCCAGGACCCTGGGATCATGACCTGAGCCGAAGGCAGATGCTTAACCATCTGAGCCACCCAGGTGCCCTGACAAAGGACTTTTATGCAGACTATACTCTTACAAATGAAAAAGATAGACAATACAATTAAAAGTAGGCAAAAAACTTGAAAGGGACCTCACAAAAGAGGAAATCCATGCCTAACCCTAATCATTACGCAAATGGCTAATAACCATATGACAACGTTCTCAACATCATTACTCATCAGAGAAATGCTAATGAAAACTACAGTTATACTTCTATGCACCTACCAGAATGGCTAAATTAAAAGTATTAACAAGAGCAAATGCTAACAAGGGTGTGGATCAACTGGAACTCTCATACATTGCTGGTGGGAATGTAAAATGGCACAGATACTTTAGAAAATTCTTTGACAATACTACTAGAATAAATATATATCTAGCTGTTGACCCAGAAATGTCACTATTAGAGAGAAATGAGTGCATGTGTCCACTGAAAGATATATACAAGAATATTCACAGCAGGGGCACCTGAGTTGCTCAGTTGGTTAAACGTCTGCCTTCAGCTCAGGTCATGATCTCAGGGTCCTGGGATCAAGCCCCACATCAGGCTCCTTGCTCAGCAGAGAGTCTGCTTCTTCCTCTCCCTCTGCCCCTCACCCCCACTTGTGCTCTCTCTCTCTCTCTACTCTCTCTCTCTCTCAAATAAATAAATAAAATCTTAAAAAAAAGAATATTCACAGCAGCTTCATTCATAGTGGCTCCAAATTGGAAACAACCCCAACGTACATTAACAGTTGACTGGATGAATAAATTGTGGTATACTCATAAAATGGAATGCTTCACAGCAGTAGAAAAGAATGGACTACTTCTGTACAACATAGAACATAATATCTAAATCTCACAGGCATCGAGTTGAACAAAAAGGAAGCCAGAAAAATAGGAGAGCATACTGCATGGTTCCATTTATATGAAGTTCTAAGTACAGGCCTAACTAAGTCTATGGGGACAAAAGTTAGAATATTGTTTACTTCTACTGTGTGTGTTGGATGGTGGGGGAAGGTTGTTGAACAGGAGAAAGAATGAAGGAAACTTCTGAGATTTGAAAATATTCCCTCTAGAGAAGGTATTTGCAAATGATGTATCTGATAAAAGGTTAGTATCCAAGGTATATAAAAAACTGGGGCGCCTGGCCAGCTCAGTCATTGGAACATGCAACTGTTGATCTCAGGGTCATGAGTTTGAGCCCCATGTTGGGGATAGAGGTTACTTAAAAAAAATTAATAAACTTTAAAAAAGTGTACAATTAAATAGGTTAAAAATATATACAAAAAAGTGATATAACTCAACACCCCCCCCAAAACCAATAATCCAATTAAAAATGGGCAGAAGACATGAACAGACATTTCTCCGAAGAAGACATCCAGGTGCCCAAAAGACACATGAAAAGATGTTCGACATCACTCATCATCAGGGAACTGTGAATCAGAACTGCAATGAGATATCTCCTCGCACCTGTCAGAAGGGCTAAAATCAACAACACAGAAACACCAAGTAGATCTAGCCCTGAGTCTGCTGAAGGAGTGATGATAGAATGTTTGTATCCAGAAAACGCCTTCCTTCCTTCTCCCCAAAATACAAAAAAAAAAAGGAAAAAGAAAAAAGGGTGCTGCTTGGCTCAGAGAGGCTACTATTATTCCTGTTAGTGAAGGTCACTGTATTTAGGATACATTGACTCTACCTAGAAAAAGGGTGGGGAGCTCAGTACATGTAAGGTAAAATGAGGAAGTTAATTTTTTTAAAGCTGTTTTTTTTTAAAGATTTTATTTATTTATTTGTCAGAGAGAGAGAGCACAAGCAGGGGGAGCGGCAGGCAGAGGGAGAAGCAGATTCTCCATGGAGCGGGGAGCCTGATGTGGGACTCGATCCCAGGACCCTGGGATCATGACCTGAGCTGAAGGCAGACGCTTAACCGACTGAGCCACCCAGGCGTCCCTGAGCAAGTTAATTTTAATAGGCACTTCTTTTCTTTGATTTTTTAAAAAGATTTATTTACTTATTTATTTTAAGGAGAGAGAGAGAGAGAGAAAGTGTGTGTGAGTTGGGGGAGGGGCAGCGGGAGAGAGAATCTCAAGCAGACTCCCTGCTGCGTGCAGAGCCCGATGCGGGGCTCGATCTCACGACTCCGAGATCATGACCTCAGCCGAAATCCACAGTTGGTTGCTTAACCTTAACGGACTGAGCCACCCAGGTGCACTTCTTTTATTCTTTCACTTATTAGGCAGATAAGGTGTGGCAATGCTTGATGAAAACCAGAGACCCTACCTAACTAAACACTGTGCCTTTTCTTTTAGCAAACTTCGAAAAGATCATCCTTCCAAAATCCTGATCAACCTGTGCACAGCACTACTGATGTTAAACCTGACGTTTCTGGTCAATTCCTGGTCCTCGTCATTTCAGAAAGCAGGCCTGTGTGTCACAGCGGCGGCGGCCCTTCATTACTTCCTGCTCGTCTCTTTGACTTGGATGGGCCTGGAGGGGGTCCACATGTATTTGTCTCTCGTCAGAGTCTTCAACATATATGTCCCTAATTATATCCTTAAATTTTGTCTAGTTGGTTGGGGTAAGGATATCTGCTTGTCCTTGATGTCTCTGTTTTAAGCTTGTGTGTATTTCAAATTCCGGCTTCATGAGACACATTATTCAGGACCAGATTCTGTTATTATCAACAGTAAGGACGCTGCATACTTATTCAGCACTCACAATATCTCTATGAGAAAGACTTCATCATTATTCCCATTTAATGGTAAGGACACTGAGGCACAGAGAGATTAGGTAATTTGCTGAAGTGTACACAGCTAGTATGTGGTAGAGCTGGGATTTGAACCAGAGATTTGGCTCCATAGTTTGGACATGCAACCTCTACAATGTAGTCATACTGTTGAAGGGACAGGGAAAGGACTTGCAGTGTGTGGAGGGGTGCTGGGTCAGACACGCCCTGATTCCCACCACACCTCATGGCGGTCATTGTCACTGCTCCCTGATGGAAGAAACCAGGAATGGAACCCAGCACAAAAATCTCCTAATTTAAATGTTATTTCATTGGGTTGTTGTCCTGTATTTCTGACACGGTCAGCTCAGCTCCTCCCCCCTCCCTTTGCCTATTCAAAACACATTTTGAGTTCCGAGAATGTGTGGGAGACACAGGAGACGTGTATATGAAGTGGGACGCAGAGGATCCATGTGAGGCTAGCTTTTTGATCCATGTGAGGCTAGCTTTTTATCTGCTGCCTTTGTAAAGACAATAGCTTCCCAATTAGCTCCTCATCCTTTTAATGACTTCATTAACATAGCACATGCTTTCACTGGATACACAGTCAGTGCTATTATCCATGCTAACGTGGGGAGCAGAGACCGGCAAATACTAAGCAGAGCATAAGCTAAGATTGTTTTAGTACACTTTGCAATCCATCAGAAACATGGAGCCCAAAGCAGTCAGTACACGCCTGTGCCTGGTAGCCCTCACCTTAAATCAACCGGGAGATTGAAAAACGTTGTGGAAGAGGCTTCGTGAATAATCTCCAAAGCAGATAACCCACATATGGCTAACTGTAAAGGGGCTGGAAATCACACTTGGTCCTGGCTTTCCTTCCCCCCTGTCATCCTCAGCTTCCTTCTCAGACCCCTCCTCCTTCACTCGCTCCTTAAGTAACAGTGTTCCCCAGGGCTCTTCTCTCTTGGATCTTCTGGTTCCACACGCACTTGCTGGGGTGCAAGGAGCGGCAGCGAAGGCTAAGACTTGGTACTTGGAGGTGGGATAAACTTAGGGAATGTCAAGGACACACCCGAGCCAAGGCCAAGGCCTGACTGGCTTGACCTGTCCAGATGCAACAAGCTGCTTGCAGATTCGGCTGATGGCTTACACAGACAGCAAAGGGAAGAGTAGCTAAAGCCTCCAGCTCCCAAGTCCTCGTCCCACACACTATGAAAGAAACACACACACACACACACACACACAAAAAGGGAACGGATGCCTGCCACACGAGTTGAGGGATTCCCTGTCGCTGAAGAACGGGTTCTAAGTGGAGCTATGCAGTTTTATATTCTGCGGCTCTGTGCTGAGAGGGCAGGGTGCAAAGCCCCACACCTCCCCCGAACCTGGGAGGCACGAGAAACTGCCTCACGACAGGCTCCTGGAGGAGAGGGAGAGGCGAGTAGTGGACGGCCTCAGAGCCCCTCCTCACACGCCTGCGGGCTCCTCCAGCTCGTGCGGGCTCACGGGGCATTCTGCCCAAGCTCAGGTCAGCTGCTGGTCCAGCCTCTGCCTGCAAGGTCACCAGGGAGCCACCACAGAGCTGTCCTGCTAAGGCGCCTTTTGGAGCATTTAAATATTAGACAAACGCAATCAATGGCAAGGAAAACAAACATTAATATCCGTTTATGTTTGAAGTTCTGTCTTCCTAATGCCAAAGCGACCTGTTGGAGAAGTTTTACTCCTGTATTTAAATCCCTGTCCAAGGCAGTAGATTGGTCCACATTTTTTTTAATAATCAGTAGGGATTTTTCTGTTTATTAATCGATAATTTTTTAATTTGTTGATTACCAAAGGGTAAACACAGCTTGGGGACCGCCTCACAACTTCCACTGTAGATGGGAGGCCCCCTTCCATCTCTCCTTTCTGGCCTCCAACAGATTAAAAAAGAACTTTTTTAATCGAAGTCTAGTTCACACTTAATGTTACATTAGTTTCAGGTGTACAGCATAGTGACTGGACAAGTCTATACCTTACGCTGTGCTCCCCGCAAGGGTGGCCGCCCTCTGTCCCCATACAGCACCGTTACAATACCATTCGCGATGTTCCCCATGCTGTGCCTTTCAACGCCGTGACTTACTCGTTCCATAACTGGAAGCCTGGACCTCCCACGCCCCTTCACCCATGTTGCCCTCCCATCCTCTCCCCCCTGGCAACCCTTAGTTTGTTCTTATGTATTTATGGGTCTGTCCTGGTTGCTTTTTTTTTCCAACAGGTATTTTTGTAAATATCTACATCATGCTAGGCACTGTGCTAAGTGTGTGATAATACAGATCAAACGGGACTGTCCTGTTTCTCACAGAACAGGACAGTGGAGGATTTTTCAAGATGCTTGGCACTCTGGGATTTAGAACAGCCTTGCAAAGCATCTTACGAAACCCCTAAAATGTGTGCAGGTGTAATGCTCTTAGTTTAGGAGAAATACATTGTTAGAAATAAAGAAATCATTTAAGTTTTACAAATGTACATGGAATTGGATTTTTAAATCCTGTGTCTACACTCACATCACGTTTGACCACTTTGACTGAACTGATTGCTTTATTATAGTCTGGCTGAATTGACTGGTCGTTAACTGGTTGATCTAGTCAAAATGTCAAACTAGTAACGAGTGTGGAAACAGCCCCCCTGTCAGAAAGCACTGAAGGCTGCAGCTGATTGCCTGTGCCCTTCCTCCAAGGTGACCTAGACAAAAAGATCCTGGGAACTAAGGGGCTCTATTGAAAAGGAGAAAAAAATTGGCAGCCCATCATCTGGGAAGAAATGCTTGATGCGAACCTGTATTCCGATGAACTAGATACTTCTATTGCCAAGTTGATTTTTTGGCACTTGAGCTATTTTTAATAACCAGTGGGTGTTGTATTGGAGCCTTTGGCATGCTGTTTAGTTTAGCAGATTGGAGCACTCCTAGAAATGTTTAACTTGGAAAAATTCACAAACATTTTGCAAACAATGGTATTTTGATGCCCGCACATCTGTGGCTCATTTAAACAGTGTCTTGGTGTAACAGGGCCCACAGTCAATGATCAGGACTTCTTCCACTTCCTAATGGGATGCCTTTGGCTTGCTTCCCCCTCTAGGAATCCCAGGGATCATGGTGGCAATCACACTCAGTGTGAAAAAAGATCTGTATGGAACTCTGAGCTCAGCAACTCCATTGTAAGTACCAGCATCTCTGCTTCTCAGGTGGTGATGTTCTTGACCATCAGGGTCTGGGGGGGTGGGACGTTGTTCCTGACCTGCAGTCTGGTCTTGACGCTGGCTCAGGGGGTACTCAGCCTCAGCCTTTTTTGGCCTAAACACAGTCACAGGTGCACTCATATAATTAGGTGTCTGGGCTCTGTGTGACCTTGGGCAACTTACTTTACATCTTCCTTCCATTTCCTCCACTGGAAAATGGGGACAATAATGTTTGCTGTCACTGTAGTGTGCAAATTAAAATGACATCACGTATATAAAGTGCTCAGCATGTGGCCTGTTCCACATGTTCTACCTAACAGGCAGCAACTGTGATTAGAAAGCTCATGGAACCCAGAAGGAGTTGTAGTGAGCCCTGTAAGGAAATACGGAGATGGTTGGAAGACATTTTCCACCATCAACAACGGTCTCCCCTGAAAGACTCCATTGCCTTCCTTTGTAAATTGGCTCAGCTTTGTTGTCCTGTTGTTTTCTTCTTTCTCTCTTCTCTTTTTGTTCTTTTTTTAAAAATTTTATTTTATTTTTATTTGAGTACAGTTGACACACAATGTTACATTAGCTTCAGGTGTAAAACTTAGTGATTGGACAAGTTTATACATTATGCCGTGCTCACCATCTTTTGTTTTCTTCTTGATGTATAAATCCATCTCTGCAGTTTTCTCATCCACAGCCACAAAAGAGTCACCATTTACCTCTCCAGAACCTTCTTTTATAGGCGCGTAGCTAGTTACAATGTAGTCCTGTAGACGGCGTGCTTTCCTTTCATGCTTCTGATTGTTTTTTACTTACCCAGATCCATTCTCTTTATTGTTGCCTCTCAAGCTGGGTTGTTGTTGTTGTTTTTTTTTTTAACTACAGATTTCCTCTCCCACTGGACTGGAATCAAATGTAGGAGGTCCTGCCCCCCAGACTCCGCCATCTTTTGTGTTCAGATGACAGTTTCTAGAGGGTCAAAATTATATTGTCCTTTCCGGCAGGTGCCTTCTAATTATATAATTTCTTGTTATCCTTTCTTTCTCTCCCTTTTCTCTTCCCTTCCTTCTCATCTCCTCCTCTGTCCTTGCTCCTCGCCTGTTCTGTGGCTTAAAGGGCCCCCAGTGTCTATCTATTGGTGATTCTTCTTCAAAGATCAAAAGCAAAAGCAAAACCAGAGCAAAACCAACTCCACTCCTCCTGAAAAGAGCCCTTTCATATGTGAATTGGTTAGTAAGAAGCAGAGTGCTCTAAGAGCTTTTTTTTTTATAATTATATTTTGAAGAAGTAATACATGCACGTGGTATAAAATTCAAATGCACAAAAGGGTAGAGGATGAAAAGTAAGCCCCACTCCCAACCCCCAGCCACGCTGTCTCTCTTCCTTGATGCAACTCTTATTACCAACAATCAGATCTGTATAGATATTCTCTTGTACACTCTGTTATCCAAATGGTAGATATATGCTGTTTGGTACTTAACAGCGTCTTAGAGATGATTCTGCATCCAAACATATAACACTGCCCCTTTTAAAATGTCTTCTATAGCCTCCTTTAAGGCTGAAGATGATATTCAGGGAACCCTAGGTATTAGACTTTATTAGGGAAATTCAATGCTTTTTTCCCTCACTCCCTCCCAACGTGCACACAAACACACACAAACTCACACACATGAAAGTATCCACACCAACATGAACAATATGATGGCAAGGGATTTTCCTGGTTCTGGAAAAGAGGTCTCAGCTAAGTTGACACACAGTTAAATTAGTAAGCTTGTCCATGTTCAAAACTCAGAGATGATGCCTCTAGTACTGGGAAATGTTATTAGATGAAGTATCTGTTCATCTGAATCATCACATAGTTCTTCTTCAATAGAAACAGTAGAGCCATTAAGAGTCCAGTGGCCAGTGTTGCCTTTTGTCGTCCAAACCTGAAGCTGTGGAGGGAGGTTTAAAATATATATCATTAACATTGATGATCTCTTCATTGTTTGATATAGCATTCAGGAAAGCCAGTCATTGCTCATGTCCTTTTACTGTGATATTTATCATGCAAAGCAGAATTCATCCTGCAAACAAAAGCTCAGGTGTAAGGTGGTAGGGCGGGGTGGGGGGAGAGCCACATTGGAGGAAAATACATCATTTGTTTTTCTGCTGTTGAGGAACGGAACAGCCTCCTAGGGAAGTGGACTGAGAAGTGTCTGCATATCCCTCCAGGATTTCTGGCGCTGGAAAGAACACCGGACTGGGGCTCAGGAGATTGGGGTTCAAGCCCCACCCTGCCCCCAGTGAGCATGAGTGAACTCTGGTCAAGGCAGTTCCTCTCTCTAGGTGCAGATGCTCTCAGGTGAACTAAAACTGATGAGGTGATCTTCAGAGTCTCACTGAAAAATACACGTTTGTGTTTCTCTACCTCACAATGGCCTTCTCTTCTTTGTCTCTTACAGTTGTTGGATTAAAGATGATTCTATCTTTTACACCTCAGTTGTGGCTTATTTTTGCCTCATATTTCTAATGAATCTCTCCATGTTCTGCACTGTTCTCGTTCAACTGAATTCCATTAACTCCCAAAGCCAGAAGCCTCGGCGGAGGACGATCCTGCATGACCTCAAAGGCACAATGAGCCTGACATTCTTACTTGGCCTCACCTGGGGGTTTGCTTTTTTCGCCTGGGGACCTGTGAGGATCTTGTTCTTATATCTTTTTGCCATTTTCAACACGTTGCAAGGTAACTTCTGCTTCTTTGTACTTTCTGGGGCTAGCCAGACCTCCACCAAAGCTTGGCTGCTTTGGAAAATAATCTCACCTTTTGAGGATTGAGAGAAGGAAAAGATACTCCAAGAGGTCTTTGCTATCAATGAATTAACAGGCAGCCATTGGAAACATTACCCGGATGTTAGGACTTCATTAAATGAGCTCACTCTAAGTTGGGGATATAGAGAAAAGCCCAGAGAGCTAACTCAACTCCAGCTAGTTGGCAATGTCTATATTAAACACTGACTGGTGATACTTTCTACAGTATTCACTGCATTACCACATCGTGCTCAGAAGTGTATGAATTCGCACTCACGTTGACATTCTGAAGTGCACAATCCCATTGGAAACAATAATTACTGGACAGTAGATGCATTAAACTTTTGACCCCCTAGACTCTGGCTACATCAGAGATCCAAATATTGTGGGAAGGAGCCAGACTAGGAAATTAGAGAGTCATAAAGGAATGAAGATGAAGAGCAAAGAGCAGTGGGCCAAGGCAAGAGGCCAAGGTTCTAATCTGGTTTTGCTCCAAACTGACTTTGGAAAAGTCACCAGAACGGTTGAATTAGATGATTGTAAGCTAATGTCTCTATAGCTCTTTAATTTCATTCCCATTTTCTGGTGAAAGGAGGAAATGATAGTGACATGGTAGGTGATTTCATGGTAGGACATCTTTGATGTCACGAGAAGTAAAAGCGAGAGATCTGGTAATATACCTCTGACTAATTGTTGATGTTCATTTTAGCCTGACTTTGCCTATTACAAATCCTCAGAGGAAGAGGCATGCAGAATGATTTCCTGGGAGTCTCGGACTCTGCCCCATGTTCTTCTTGTCCTCAAATTTGGCCCAGTTCAGTTGAACTACTGGGGCAGCTGTGAGGAACTTGGACAGTGCATTGAATTAGGGTTTCCCTTAGTGCTCCAAACTATTTATCCACTCAATAAACCCCTTTACCAGACTCCAGTCCACTGGTGGTCCATGAGATGCTCCAGCAAGAGAAGAGTTCTATGGTCAAAGAAGTTCGGGAAATGCAGCAAACTATATTCCCCCATTCTTAAAATGGCACCATATATATTATCATGGTAAAAGCTCTGAGAAATTCTTCTGGGGAAAAAAAAACACCTTTAAAAATTTGTTCTAACCTGGCATTTAAAAAACCTCAGAGCACTTTGTCGTGTGGTTATTAACCCCTGTGGAATCTTGGGAAATATGAATTGGTATGTAGTTATTCTCTGCCAGGCATTTGCAGGGTGCTGCAGGGCGATCAGGGAGCATTCTAGAATAAGGCACTATTTTTGCTTTCATGTCTTTCGATTCAAGAAACCATCTCATTTTTGAGCAATGAAGTGTATCAGCTGAAATTTCTGTCCCACCAGATTCTTCCAAGCATGTTCTGATTGGCATGTAAAAAGACACAAAATGCCTGGGTATAGAATGTGTGCAGGAGTGGATTAGGAACCAGATACCCGGGCAGATTTCTTCCTCAGCAGTAAGTCCACTCACTAATTCTGAGGAGAAACACACTCACACTATTGAAAGAGGGGCTGATGGGGAAGCTGACAAAAGAACGAGAAAGCAAAGCAGTTTAGAGCTTACAAATGGAGGAGGGGTGTCTTCCACGCAGCAAGTGCTCCATTCCTACGGTGGAAAAGGAAAGTAGTTTCTAAGCAGGAAGCCTCTGTGGCTTAGAAGCAGAATCCAGCTGGGGATCTCCTGAGGGCTAAGCCCAAAGTCCCATAGATCCAGCGTCGACAGAGCCAAGCTGTCTCTGTCTGTCAGATACGCTTTATGTCAACCAAGCACCAAATCTTTCTAGTCCCTAGTCCTGCCTTACAGGATAGAATGTGCCATCTTACAGAGAGGGGGTTTGCAGAGCCCTGAATTTCAGACTCAAATTACACACACACACACACACACACACTTGTGCGCGTGCGCGCACTCAGAGCAAGAACACAATGAAACAAGTGAACAAATTAGCCATTTAAAAGACAGATGGCAAGTTTGCAATTCTGGCTGAAGGGGGTTGCCCTGTGGTCTGGTGTGAAAAAATGCTGTGCGTGATGAGCCATTTCTGAAGGAGGGATGCACAAGTAAAAATTCAGGTGACAAAAACCTGACATCTTCCCTCATGCCTGTGTTCTAGTGAGTAAGCAGATCAATCTGTTATTGGAAAGAAAAGGGAAGGCTGACAGGCAGAGAGGGAGAGCGGGCAGGCAGCTCATTGGAATTCACATAATAACCTTTAAGTCTGAGAACAAACTAAACTCCATGCAGGAAATCAGAACGGTAATAGATGCCTGTTGTCCCCCGTTGCCCCTTGCTTCTGCTGCTCGGAAAGAGTGAGCGCTGCTCGATTCGTCACCACAGTTGTTTGGTGACACGGAGATAAAGCCCTCAGGGGAGTGAATGACACATGTCATTCTGTTTAGCCTCCAGATTGCTGCCTCCCACCTGGAATCAGAGAGTCTCAGGGCTGGGGCTGGGGACCCGAGATCTTCCCAATCCCACTTCCCATCGAGTGACAGAAAGTCACATGACCCTACCTGAAACTTTCCAGAGACAGAGAGCTCACCGTTCCATAAAGCAGAGCATTCAATTTCTCTCTTTGTCTGATGGAAATATATTTGACATTTAACATTGTGTAAATTTAAGGGGTACAGCATGTTGATTTGATACACCGATATGTTGTAATATAATTACCACTGTAGCTTCTAATCGGCTTTGCGTCTTATCCGGGTCACCCTTTTCTGAGGGTAGAATGTATAGTGCAGTGGTTAAGACCTTGGGCTCTGCAGCCAGACTGTCTGCATTTGGTCTTGACACTGCCACCTCAATATTAGCCCTGTGACTCAGTCAGACTTACTAGACTTCTTGGACTCTGAGGTCTCTCAGCTATAAAAATGACGCTAATAGCACAATGCCTATGATATAATCATTGCTTAGGAAACCCTAGCTGCGATGTGTTACCACGTGGTGGTTCTGTGGCTTCCTCCAATTGCTCCTGGTTCTAACCTGGCCACCACACAGAACAAGCCTAATTTGTCTTCTTCATGACAGCCCTTTCAGAGCTGTAACTATGGCTACCATCTCTCCTCACCCTATGTTCCCACTCCAAGTCTTCTCTATTCTTGAATACTTCCATTTGTCATCATCGTTTCAAAACGAAGCCTCCCAAACTGAATATGGTGCTGGTAGGAGAAAGGGCCAAACCGGGGCAGGATGGCAGGAGACTCTCACCCACCTCAACCAACATTCTTGACTTCCACTAATGCCCTAGCTGAAGTGAGCTTTGGGGGCATTTACTATTGACTCGTGCTCAACTTGCAATGAGTTAAGACTACTCTGACCCATTACTAATCATTTACTTCAGCACAACTGGCCAGTGAGGAGGCAAGCTGAACCTTGTATAGAGAACAAAGGGTTGCAAACTGCTCTTGGGCCAAAAAAAAAAAAGATTTCGAGGCCCAAGGTTGCAGAACACTGTGAGAGTTTGTGTATCAAGTGCCTTGGAGTTCAAGTCAACAAACATCTGTTGGGCTACCACACAAAGTCCTGGAGGCAAAGGGAGAAGCCATATGAGCGTGAAAAGACTTTACAGCTGGGTGCGGGGATAGGCAATACATGGAGATTGTGGCCACATATAGCAAGTCGTATAAGAAACAGAGCGCTATGGGAGAGCTCAAAGTGGGAAAGATGAGTTTCAGTTTGAGGCCCCCGGAAAGGTTTTGATAATGGTTATTTCTGCCAATCCCACCCCCAAGCTTTAGGAGACCCAATTTGCCCTCCAGAGCATTTGCCACAAGGAAAATCTCAAGTCCTACTTTTTCCTCCCAAGGAGATCTTTTAGAGGATGGGGAAGAGAAATGGCCAACGCTGCTGGCGGATGCCCTCAGTCCTGCTCTATCCCACTTTCAGGACAAAATCAGGGCTGGCAGTGGAAAATGAGGGCACCAAATTTATGATTTCCACACGGTGTAATTGTGCCAAAGAGCATGTCTATCAGTTATTTATTGCTATGCAACAAATTACTCCCAAAGTTTAGCAGCCTAAAGAAATAGCACTTATTATCGTACCTAGTTACTGAGGGTTGGGAATTCAGGAGCAGCTTAGCTTGGTGGTTCCGGCTCAGGGACTCTTTTTTTTTTTTTTTTTTTAAGTGGGCTCCATGCTAGAGCCCAATACAGGGCTTGATCTGAGCTGAGATCAAGAGTTAGACGCTTAACCGACTGAGGCACCCAGGTACCCCTGGCTCAGGGACTCTGATGAAGTTGCAGTCAAGCTGTCAGCCAAGGCTTTAGTCATGTGGAGACTTGACTAGCTCCGGAGAATCTGCTTCCAGGAAGCTTCACTCACATGGCTAGGGACTGGAAGCCTTACTTCCTCACCGTGTGGGCCTCTCCACAGGGCTACAAGGTGTCCTCAAGCTATATAACACTTGGATTCCTTTGGAGGGAGTAATCAGAGATAGAAGCCACAATGTCTTTTATAAGCCATTCTTGGAAATGACATGACATCACTTCTGCCATAGCCTATTGATACAGTGTGGGAAGAGATGACACAAGGATACAAATGCCACAATATAGGGGTCATTGAGAGCCATCTCGGAGGCTGACTACCGTTGAAGGGCTGCTCTCTCAAGCTCTAGGATAGACAGCAGCCCCGGGAGAAAACTGTGGTTGATATGAAGTCTTGATACAGACCTTCTTGCCATCACTGCCTCTGACAGGGAAGCTAGAAAGATGAGCTCAGAAAGCCATAATGGCCCTGAGGTTATTTAGGAGGAGTGTCTATGGTGATAAGAGTAGATCTGGGTCTGGGTGTTGGTGACCGCTGGCGAAAGCCGCTGAAACAGACTGACCTTCTTCTTTTGACTTAGGATTCCTCATTTTCGTGTTTTACTGCTTGATGAAGGAGAGTGTGCGGGAGCAGTGGCAGATACACCTCTGTTGTGGGTGGTTACGACTGGGTAACTCTTCTGGTAAGATGCCAGTTTGGGTAAGGTTTTGAATTTTACAGGTTTCGCACAACTGATCTGATTAACTTGTCTCCTGACTTGAGTTCATAGGAGCATTGGCGTCAAAATGGAGGCTGTTTCTATGTCATGAGAATGATTTATACTTTTGTGCTGAGACGAATGAAGTCAAGTGAAGAATGTGACTTGGGCCGTATTTTAACTTAGGGAAACTTCTCTTTTGGCCCAGATTCTTGGATTGCTTGTCCTTGCTGTCACCTCAATCTCAACTCAGTTCAAAAGAATGTTGATTGAGTGCCCTACTGTGTTTCAGGCCCTGGGTCACAGGGGCTTTCTGGCCTGTAGCCAACAGTGGGTTGAGTGGATGCGGGAAGCAAGGAGAGATAGTGGAGGTGGGAAGAAGCCTAGCTGGATGGAGTGATGGCCCATCCTATACAGTGGGAGATGAGATGGACCCCGATGTTGTCTCTGAGAATATCTCCAGTCCAGGCAAATTGATTTTCTTTTTTCTTTTTTTTTATGATGTTATGTTAATCACCATACATTACATCATTAGTTTTGGATGTAGTGTTCCACGATTCATTATTTGCCTATAACACCCAGTGCTCCACGCAGAATGTGCCCTCTTCCACACCCATCACCAGGCTAACCCATCCTCCCACCCCCTCCCCTC